TCTGAAACCCAGAATTCTTATTTCATGGATGAGTAAAATGAGATTTATGGAGGATAAATGACTTGTCCAAGGTCACACAGGTATTACGAGTCATGAAAATAGTTGGAACCCATGTCCTCTGATTCCAACATTAACAACCTTCCTGGTGTTCTATTCTGCTGAGTCTTTCTGACCAAGATCATAAGATCATAGATCTATAGCAGGGAGCGACCCCAGAGGCTGGTTAGTCCAACCATTTTATTTTACAGGTAAGAAGACTGAGGCCCAGAGAGGAAAGGAGATGGGCAAGATCATAAGCAAGTCCTGGGGTCTAGCACCGGATACTTCATGGACCTTTTGTTCAAACTTTAACTCTTTCCCCAAACCTGGCACTTACTGCCCCTACCTGCTGTTTGTTGATTACTGAATTGGATTCAGATGTAACAGCTGCCTTGGGGGTATTTGTTCTCCCTTTTGTAGCCTGCGTTGATCATGGCTGCTTCGCTACTTTCTTCAACATTGGCCGTTTTCTGTGGACCCAAGAGTTGAAAGCTGAGGGCAGAAGCTCGTTTCTAAGAACCAGACCATCGACTTACGGCTGGGAAGTCATCAAGGCCAAGCCCATCAGATATCAGAGATCACCTAGTTTAACCATTTGGGCATGTTTGCAGTTTGGGGAAGCCTATGGATCCTTTCTCCAAATCATGTTTTTAATGCACAAAATAAAATACAGAGGAGTACAAAGGAAACCACATATGTTGAAATAGAATTATCAAACTATTTCTTTAAAAATACATTTATTAATACCCAATTAAGGACCCTTTATCTAGTCCCATTTTAGGGACAATTAGATGACTCCACAGGGCACAGAGCACTGGGCCTGGAGTCAGGAAGACCTGAGTTCAAATCCAGCCTCAGATACTTACTAGCTGTGGGCAAGTCACTTAACCTCTGTTTGCCTCAGTTTTCTCAACTAGAAAATGGGAATAATAACAGCTCTTACCTTGCAGGGTTCTTGTAAAGATCAAATGAGAAAATCATTGTATAGTGCTTCACACAATGCCTGACATGTGGTAAGTACTAACTATTTATAATTATTATGATTAAGTAAGCAGCTGCCTGGGCAGCTAGATGGTGCAGTGGATAGAGTACCAGGTCTGGAATCAGGAAGACCTGAGTTCAAATCTGGCCTCAGATGCTTGCTAACTAAATGAACCTGGTCAAGTCACTTCACCCTGCTTGCCTCAGTTCCCTTCTCTGTAAAATTACCTGGAGAAGGAAATAACAAATTGCTCCAATATGTTTGCCAAGAAAACTCCAAATGGGGTCGCAAAGAGTCAGACGTGACTGAAAGGACTGAACAACAACAAAAAGAGATATCTAAAAAGAGGAAGAGACAAAATTACACAAGCAGTGATTGGCCAAGCCAGAATCAGGACTCAGGTCCTCTGACTCCCATAGCAGTATGTTTTCCACTGCATTTTGCTGTCTTCTGCAGAATGTGCCAGCTGTGAAAACCTGCCACAAGTCATGTGACCTCTGCCACTGGGATTTGGAGTCAGAGGCCCTGTATGTGAATTCTTCCCCTAGCACTGAATCCAGCCAGCATTCTCTCCATCACTTCCTGCTAACAACCCAACATCCTTTATCATTCCCCCAGGCATTGGTAGGACAGAACCCTTTCCACATTGGGGTCTAGGGAAAGTATCAGTGCTATCCTGTCACTCACTTAGGAGGCTGCTGGATTAGACGAGGAATTTCAGCTCATCGGCTTTCGAGCCGAAGGGGACACGGCAGCCTCTGCCACCAGACTTTGTAGGAAATGTGAAGCAAAGTGGGGATGGAGCTGGGTCTGCAAAGGGGAAGCAGGAAAGCAGCAGCTTCCTCCATCTTGCCACACCTGACTTGGGCGCCAGTGAGTCATTAGCAGAGTGTTTTGAATGGCTTGTTTCAAAGGGGTTCATTATTTTTACAGGGAACAATTTCTAACAATTTTACTTGTCACTCATGGTGGCTGCTGCTAAGTGGAGCTATGCAGGCCGTTATAAATACATTATCTGATACCTCCAACAAGCCTTTGCAGGTAAAAATAATCCCTTTGCATTTTGTAGCCCAGATGTGTGCTTCCTTTTTGTTCTGATGGGAGCTTCTGCATCAAGAGAGGGAGAGAGAGACAGAGACAGAGAGACAGAGAGACAGAGACAGAGAGTGAGAGAGAAAGAGAGAGAGAGAGAGAGAGACAGAGAGAGACAGATAGACAGACAGACAGACAGAGAGAGAGGGAGAGAGAGAGAGAGAGAGAGAGAGAGAGAGAAGAGAGAGAGAGAGAGAGAGAAACATGTTTAGTAAGAGGGAGATGGTTCCAGGATCTGAGATCAGCAGCCCCTGTTGCTACCAAGAGAAGCCAAGGACTTTTTTTTTCCTTCTTCAAGCAAACCTCATAGCTTCACTGTTAATTTCTCACCAGGCATACAATGCCTATCGTCAGTCTTGTGCTGGCCCACAGCTCCCTAGGATCTCTGCTTGAAATATCACAATTCCACTCTGATCCTTAAACCCCTTCTCCTCTCAATTAGGGGACCATCTGCTGTGTCATGACTCCCCAGGATCCTCTGGGCCTTCACCATCTGCCTTGCTTCCTTCCCTTCTTCAGTATTACCTGGCTTTTCTATCTTCCATGACCGGGAACCCTCCTTTATGTGTTTTTTCTCCCAATTAGAATGTAAGCTCCTTGAGAGTGTGGTCTATCTCAGTTTTCTATGTATTCTCAGAATTTGGCACCATATTTGGCACAAATTAGCACTGAATACATTCCAGGGACACTGATCCCCAGAAGAACAGGTCAGGAAAACCTTTTGGTTTGCTTAAAATCCCTCCCTTCTCTGGGCAGGAGTATACTAGTTCTTACAAATGGATTTCCGAAGTGTGGCTTGATTTATAATCTGTTGTAGTCCATTCCAAATTCTGTGATTTTGTGATCCCTCTTTGTAGCCTTGGGATGAAGGCCTGTTTAGGTATACCAGCCCAGAGCTCTAGGAAGCCTTATAGTAGGAGAGAGGCTTCCTCAAGGGCGTTATATTCCAATTGGGGAAGACATCATATAAGAGAAACTAAAGAGGAAGAGAAGACACTCATCAGGGCAGTGGCAGAGGAGAGAAGGAAGACATGGCTGGCCTGGGCTCTTTCCCAATAAGGGAGATTCTGGGACAAACACTTTCCATGTAAACAGACATAAATAGGTATGTTTTTATTCAAATAAGACAATGCCCTGAAAAGTCTTTTACAAACTGCAAAATGGTACAAAAAGCAAGTAGTTATTGTTAAGATTACTAATAATAACAGCTAACATTTGTCCAGTGCTTACTATGTGCTAGGCACTGTGATAAGTGTGCTTCACAATAATTATCTCATTTAATCCTCACAGCAGTCCTGGGGGGTAGATGGTATTATTATTCCTATTTTACAGATGAGGAAACTGAGGCAAATAGAGATCAGGTGACTTGTCCAGGGACTGTCTGAGGTTAGATTTGCACTCTAGTCTTCCTGACTTCAGGGGCAGCTATGTGGTTCAGTAGATAGAGTACTGGGTTTAGAATTAGAAAGACTCATCTTTGTGAGTTCGAATCCAGCCTCAGACACTTACAAGCTGCGTGATCCTGGACAAATCACTTAACCCTGTTTGCCTCAGTTTCCTAATCTCTAAAATGAGCTGGAGAAGGAAATGGCACACCACTCCAGCATCTCTGCCAAGAAAACTCCAAATGGAGTCACAAGGAGTCAGACGTGACTGAAACAGTTGAACAGGAACTACAAAATGTTCTGACTCCAGGTACAGCGCTCTAGCCACTGCACCGCCTAGCTGCCCTTATTATTATACTCACTATTGTTGTTGTTGTTGTTGTTGTTATCTCATCATCATTAACATTGCTTGTCTACTTGCTCCTCAGAAAATCCCGCTCAGCCCCCTCACAGCCCTTGGTCACCCTAAAACATATAAAAGCGTACAGTCTTAATAAAAAGAGAGGCAGTAGATAGAGAACCAGTCTGAATGTCAGGAAGAAACAGCTTCAGATCTTACCATAGATACTTACTGATTTCATGACCATGAGCAGGTCACTTAATCTTTTTACTTCCCTATCCTCATCTGTGAAATGGGAAGTTTGGACTCAATGACCTCTAGGCTCACATTTAGGTCTAAATTTTATGAAGTGATAAACCAAGTGATGAATTTTCTTCCTTTATTCCTTCCCTTTATTCCATCTAAGGTCCAGAAACCCAAATCAGATGATCGAAGAACCAAACAAACCAGGCAGGAATCAGGGTCCGGATGCCAGGGCAGCGTCAGAAACACAGAATTCAGGACACGGAAAGAGTCAAGTTGTCAAGCCAAGGCCAGAATTGAAAGGGGCAAAGGATTATGCCATGGGCCAGGCTTATAAAGTAAGCAAGGCCTTAGAGGCAGATAGATCTTCAGCAGGAAGGAAAACGCCATGATGGTCTTTATTGCCCAAATGTCCCTCTTGGGTTTTTCTCCTCAGCAAACAAGCATTCGAGAAATATGCATAAAGTATCTTGCATAACGTTATGCTAGGCCTCACCAGAGAAAGACATATGGTCTTTAGAGAGGACATGGTCCCTTCTGTCATGGGCATAAGCTTGTAGGCATTTTGGTACCTTCTTTGAAATCTCTGAGTAGAGGTGAGACAGACTCTTGTCAAATGTTGTCCACAGGATTCCATTCATGAATGGGCTGATGGCCACTGAGGTCCTTTTCAGCCCTCAAAATCTGCGATTCCTTCAGCATTCCATCTAGACAGATGCTGAGGCCAGGCACCAGCCACAGAGACTAGGGCTCTCTGGAACACCAACACCCTAACAAGAAAAATCTGCACTCCTTGTCTAATTCTTGAGAGTTAATTTACAATTGCGGGCTTTTTCTGGCTGCTTGTCTCATTCCATACTGAGACTTGCCTCCTGCTGTCACTGCCAAGACAGTAATATTCCTTGGGGAATGGCAGCAAAGAGGCAGCTGAAGAGTATGGAGTGTGATCACTGGCACAGCATCCTCCATGCAGGTGTAAAAAAAAAATGGGGAAGGGGAAACGTTTTGTAGGGTATTTAATTACTGCCCAGGAATGGAGTTACTGGATTCACTTACTGAACTCCTGATATTTCTGCTGCCATGGTGAAGAAACCACATCCCCTGGTCTATAGGAGCAAGTGCAGACATCATTTTCATTTACAGAAGAAAATAAATCAATCGTCCCCTCAGGTGCACTGTCTGCAAAGCAGGCGTGGAGAAAGGTTACTGAGCCATTTGTCCGAATTACAAACAGGAAGGATTTCCAAACGCATCCAGGGCCGTTAATGAAGACAGCTTAATCAGAGGCCTCTCATGGGCACAGATGACATTAAACCTGGATGGAACCCAGTATAGCCTTCCGCTGGAGAGGATGGGGGAGAGGAGCACCATGGTTAGGAATCGGGCCATGTCTAGTCAAAGTCAATCAGGCAGCCAGTCAGCAAGGAGCCACCATGTCTACGAAGGAAAGAGGCACAAATGAAATGGAAGACTCAATTCTTGTCCCCAGGAAACATCACAGCAACAACTTGCATTGCACATATTAAGTGCTTAATTTTCATTAACTCATACATTCATTCATTCATTCATTCATTCATGGCGGAGGGGATTGTTTATTTACAAAGCTCTTTTAATCCATCAATCAATCAATCAGAGGAGCATAAATTTACAGCCAGAAGGCCCTTAGAAATTATCTAAATCAACTGGCTCATTTGCAGAGAAGGAAACTGAGGCCCAGAGAGATTAAATGACTTGCCAAGAGTCAGGCAGATATTAAGTGTCTGAAGCCAAATTTCAACTCCCATCTCCCCAACTCCAATCCAAAATTACCCACAATGCAACACTTCCCACATGCATTTATAAAGTGCCAGGCACTGTGCTAAGCCCTGGGGATGATAAAAAATAAAAATAAAAACAAAACAAAGCAAAACAAAAACAAAAAATGTAAGAGAGAAAAAAGGAATGGAAAGAGTATTGTCTTTGGAGTCAGAGGAACTGAGTTCATCTTATGGTTCTAGTATATCCTTACATGTGAGATATTGGGAAAGACATTTAATCTCTCTGGGTCTTTGTTCCTCATCTCTAAAATGAGAGACAGAAAAAGAGAGAGAGAGGAGAGAGAGAGAGAGAGAAAGAGAGAGAGAGAGACAGAGACAGAGACAGAGAGACAGACAGACAGACAGAGACAGAGACAGAGGGACAGGGACAGACAGAGACAGAGAAACAGAGACATAGAGAGAGATAGAGACAGAGATAGACAGAGAGACAGAGAAATAAAGACAGAGACAGAGACAGACAGAGAGACAGAGACAGGGACAGAGAGAAAGAGAGACAGGCAGGCAGAGATAGACGCATACCTCTATATGTTTATATATACATGCATCTATATACACATGTGTATAGATATATGTATGTATATAATGCATGCATGCATCTACAGATGTGTAGATATTTATAGGCATACATGTATATATATGAATGTATATATGCATACATGTGCTATAAGGTATAATATATATGTTCACAAATAGGATATATGTATATGCCCATGTACAGGATTTAACAGACTTTTCTAGGACCACAAAGTTTCAAAGCCAGGTTTCCTGACCTCCAAGTCCAGGCCCATTTGCGCTGCTCCTCATTGGATTACAACCTAGACTCCACCTTCATTGGCAGGCTCTATGTCAAACAAAGATGGGTTCAAGGAAGCGGGAGTTAGTTTTTAGGCTAGAGAAGAAGAGATTTAGGGGTCAGGGTCATGATCGTTGTCTTAAAGTCTCTGAAGTGCTGACATGTGGAAGAGGGGGCAATTTTGCTCTGCTTTGAGCCCAGGAGGCATATCCAGGAGCAATCACAACTAGGGCAGCTGCCCCAGAGTGGGATGGGCATCTTTGACAAGAGGCAGGCTCCCTCTCAGTTAAAAATCTTCAAGTGGCATCATAAGGCCATGCAGTTATTAAGTGTCTGAAGCCAGATTTCAACCCAGGTCAGTCAAGGATGCTACCCACAATGCACCACTGCCCACAAGAATTGATTAAGTGCCAGACTATGTATGCAAAAGATTCTTGGACCAGATTCCTTGCCTGAGTTTCAATAATTCTGAGATTCATCCTAGCTCCATCTTCCAATCGATCTGATATGTTCCTTAGGACTTAACACTTTCTTTGGGGGGGATTATCGTGTTTTTGGGGGGTGAGAAATCTCTTTGTTAATCATTTAAACAACCAATTAAAAAACATTTTGTTCAGTGCCTACTAGCGTCAGACATTGTGCCGAGCACTTGGGGACAGAAAAAAGGAAAACAAAACAAAATAAAACATTGTCCCTGTGCTCAAGGTGCTCACATTCTCATGGATTCATTGAGCTGCTATTTTGTGCCTAGATCTGTGCTAGTCTGGGCTGTGGGATATTCCAGAGTGAATTAGGTGCTTGTCCACATGTATTTTAAATTCTTGGTAGGGAGATGAAAGCTGAGCATATAAAGTACAGAAGGCCTTGTGATGTCTCAGAAGGATCAAAAGGGTGGATGAATGCAATGTAGTCTGAATATTTTGTCTGATACCATGGGTGGGAGTGTGTCTGCTTCCCCTTTCAATGACTTTTTTTATTGTCCTGGGCCCTCAGTTTAAGCCTCTGTGATCAGATAATGATACTCCTATTGCCTGTATGGTATGTTAGAAAGAAAAATGCAGTATTTAGAGACAAATAACCTCTATTCAAATCTAGATGGCCCAGTGGTTAGAGTGCTAGGCCTGGAATCGGGAAAAACTGATCTCAAATCCAGCCTTAGACACTTACTAGCTGTGGGGTGCTGGACAAGTCACTTAATCTCTTTTGCCTCCAAAACCCACCCCACCACCTTAAAAAGGGAGGAATTCAGTCCTCAAACGCTCTCAACAATGAACAGGTCTCCAGGGCCCCAGAGCACAATCTGCCTGCCTCACCCCCTGAGGACCACAATAGCAATCCCCAGGTGCTAACTCTATATTTAACACTGCATTGCTGGTGTTCAAAGATGGCTCATTATATCCTAATAAAGCAGGGGAAATGGCTTTATCTAGGGACCTGCTCAGTTGAAACCATGGGCTACTGATTCCTAAGAGGATTTAAATTGCATCATAAGCACCCTTCCCTCCCTTTCTGACAGCCTGCTCACCAGGCTTTGCATAGACTCTGTCCCATGTTTGAAGTATGCTTCCTCCTCACCTACACTTTTGAGAATGCTAACTCCATTCAAGGTTCAGACCCTGGGGGTCCCCTACTTCTCACTGAGATCTCTCTCCTCACAAAGCATGCCTTTACTGTTTATATACATACATATATACACATATGCATATATACATGTATATGTATGTATGTATACATATGTATATGTTCATAAGTGTGGGGTGGGATGGCCCCTGCTAAAGACTTTCTGAAATGGAATGGGTTAAATAGAAAGGATAAAGATTGCTGCCCAGGCAGCATCAAGATGGTAGAGAAGGTAGTCAGAAAGACCTTGGTTTAAGCCCAACCTTTTACACACACTAGATTCATCACCTGCAGAAACTCATTCAACCTCTCATTGCAAGGGGACAACTCTCTAGCACAAGGGCCCTTAACCTTTTTTTTTTGTCCTATACCTCTTTGGCAATATGCTGATGCTTATGAACCCCTTCTCAGAATAATGTTTTGAAATACATGAAATAAAACACTTGGATCATAAAAAGAAGCTTATTGAAATATAGTTATGAACTTTTTTAAATGGACCCCAGGGTAGGAATCCGTGATCTAGCATTAGTTGCAGAAACCATGGCAATCTGCAAAGTTAGAAGTGCCCTCTTACTGGGAGTTCCCTATACCAATTACAGACCTGAACCCCCCCCCCCAACAAACAAAGAGAGAGAGAGAGAGAGAGAGAGAGAGAGAGTGTGTCAACAAACATTTATCATGCTCCTACTATGTTCCAGGCACTATACTAAGTTCTGGAGATACAAAGAAAGGCAAAAACAGTCCCTGCCTCCAAAAAGTTAAAAATTCAATGGAGAAAACAACATGCAAACAACAATGTACAAAGAAGATACATACAGGATAAATTAAAGATAATCCCAGAGAGAAGGCATAAGTAAAAAAAAAAAAAAGCATGATGCTTTGCACATAGTAGGTGACTAATAAATGCTAGTTGAATTGAACTGATAGAAGGGATTCTTTATCACTCCCCTTTTCTCTTTTTTATTCCCATCTCCTAGCACAGCACCTAACACAAAAGAAACACCTGTGTCACTTACCTTGCTCGTAGAGAAGGTTCTGCCCAGCATAGTCTTCTGTTCTCAGCAGGTCAGTTTCCATCCAAGGCCAGACTTTCCCACCACCTACATGGAAATGAAATACATTCAAAGAGGAGTGACCACTGATTTTCCAGACTGGGCTTTAATTCCGAAAAGCTGTGATTTCAGGTGGTGTTATCACCTTATGGGAGTTTCAGACCAATTGTAACATGTCAGAAGGCTCTCTCTGCATGGGTTGGGTGGGAACTAGCAATATGCCAGCCAACATGGCTGGAAATAGACTAGACTACCTAGACACCGAAGTCTTATGTGCTGGAGCAATAAACTCATTGGGTTTCATTCATTACCCCATTTATTGTGTTTCAAATCAATGGGAAAGAATCTTCTTCTTTCTTCTTTCTTTCTTTCTTTCTTTCTTTCTTTCTTTCTTTCTTTCTTTTTCTTTCTTTCTTTCATTCATTCTTTTTTCTTTCTTTCTTTCTTCCTTCCTTTCTCTTTCTTTCTTTCTTTCTCTTTCTTTTTTTCTCTCTGTCTCTCTCTCTTTCTTTCCTTCCTTCCTTCCTTCCTTCCTTCCTTCCTTCCTTCCTTCCTCTCTCTATTTCCTTCTTTCTTTCCTCCCTCTCTCTTTCTTCCTTCCTTTCTATTTCTTTCCTTTCTTTCCTTCCTTCCTTCCTTCCTTCCTTCCTTCCTTCCTTCCTCTCTCTATTTCCTTCTTTCTTTCCTCCCTCTCTCTTTCTTCCTTCCTTTCTATTTCTTTCCTTTCTTTCCTTCCTTCCTTCTTCCTATTTCTTTCTTTTCTCTTTCTTTTTTCTTTCCTTCCTTCATCCCTCCCTTCCATCTTCCTTCTCCATTTCTTCTCTTTCACCTCTCTCTCTTTCTTTCTTTTTTATTGTGCTACTTTAAATTAAAATCACTTTATTTTGTAGGCCTGTCAGCTGCTAGAGGAAATAAAACTTTGCTTGGGCGAGATCATTTAAATATGACATTTCAAGATGGGCGGGGACATGCCAAGGAGTAAAAGTTATTCTGCTTTTAGAACAGATGGAGGGGAGAACTGATGATTCCCCATAACTTTCCATTTGAGGGTTTAATGTAATATGCCTGCTATGCATTGATAAATAGTGCAGCCAGAGACAGAGGGCCTGGGGCAATGAAAAGAGGTTTCTAGGAAGGGAATAGAACTGTGTCTGCATTGGTAAGAAGCCTTGCCTGTCACCAGTATGGAAATTGAAAGGGAGATGGACCAGGCAAGGCCCTCGGTGGAGAGATGTTAATACACATGTTCAGAATTCAAAGTGCACAGAGAGGATCTTCTGCCCAGCCTCAGTCTTTCAGCACACATTAATTTATTGTAAACTTCATAAAAGCCAGGGAGAATGGGTAATGTGTTGTCTAAAGTTGAAGTTTCCTTCAGCTTCTGGAAGGGTGATCTATACATAGCATATCAATGGATCTGTGCTTTCCTCATTATGGATGCTTCCTCCCAACGTTGTTAATTGTAATTCATCCATGAAAACCCATCTTGTGCAACACTTACCCATGTCTTCCCATAAGTTCAACCCAGGGGATCCTCGCTTTTGAATGACATCTTGAGCTACCACTACATTAGTTCTGACTTTCCATGTTCTAAGAGCCCTCCTAGCTCTAACATTCTGTGTTCTAAGACCCCTCCCAGCTCTGACATTCTGTGTTCTAAGGTTCCTCCCAGCTCTGACATTCACTGTTCTAAGGGCCGTCCCAGCTCTGACATTCTGTGTTCTAAGAGACCTCTCAGCTCTGACACTCTGTGTTCTAAGGCTCTTCCCAACTATGCCAGTCAATATGCTAAAGCTCCACCTTCCCTCAGCTCTGACATTCCCTGTTCTAAGCTCCCTTCTAGCTCTGACATTCTCATTTTCCAACCAGTTCTTACCTTCTGTGTTCTCCGGTCACTCCCCATTATCTTTGAAATTGTTGGTTCTAATGTCATCGGCAGATCTGATCGCCTGTGTTCTAAGGTCCACTCTTCTTCCTCACTCTTACATTGGATGTTAGAAGGTTCCATCTAGAGACAAGTTTTATGAATACCCTCTGAATGGGGAACTGCTGTAGAGCATAAGGAAAGAATGTTGAGTTTGGAGTCGGAGGACATAGTTAGAATCTCAGTTTTGCCCTTTCCTACTTGTGTGGCATTGGCCAAGTCATTGAACCCTGTGTGACCCCGAGTTCTCTCTGGAAAATAAGGGAGTGGGGCAAGCTCTGAGGGCTTTTCCAGTGTAGATTTACGAATCTATCAAACCTATCTATAGTATGAATCACAGGGCTCATGCTCACAGAGCTCAAGATGTTTAATAACCACTCTGATGAGAAGAAAGTGACAGAAAGAAGAAAAGTGAATGTAGAGGAAGCAGAAGGAGGAAGTATAATGGTGAGTTAGCACAGGTGTTTGGCTTGGAGCCCAGCTAGCAACATTTCTGAACATTGCAGGCTAATGCAGTACTGTAGCTTGAAGAGAGGGGTTTTTTTTTTGAGGGGTGGGGGTAGGGGTGAGGATGGTATGTATGACTAATTTTAGCCTTCTCCAAGAGATTCCCCCAACCCCTTCATTTTCCAATTAAGAACCAAATCTGCATCTTTGGGACAGCAAGTGGTCCTCCAGCCATTTTTTTCGTTTTCTTTTTAAATTACTGCCTGGTTCAGTCCTGATCTTTGCACAGTAGGAAATCTGCATTTTTAATGTTCAGTGCTCCATGTATTGATTGAAATTATAGCAATTTGCATTTTAGAGGTGGTCAGTGACTGGAGCCGATTCCCTTGCTCCCATTTTAAAGGGAGAAAACGAAAAGCCAGAACAATTAGCCGCTAAGGACATGGAATGTGAAAGCAGCCATTTGGCCCCCTTTGAGTTCCCAGTGAGGCCTCATTAATACTAAGGAGTAGGGAAGGGATGGAGGAAAACCAGAGTGGGAAGGGTAAATCTCCAGTGAAATATCATGCCAATATAGCCACCGAGGCTGGTGAAAAGCATGCTTAGGAACCCTGTCCAATTTATGGCTCATCAAGCCAGGACTAAATCTGTCATTTTGTATTCTTTGGTACCTTTCAGCTTCAACATTCTGTAATATAAGGTCCCTCCTGGCTTTTACATTCTAAAGAACTTTCCAGATTCAAATTCTAATGTTCTAATGTTTCTCTCACCTATGCTATTCTACGTTCTAAGGTCCCCTCTACTTCTAAAATTTAAATCGTGAGGTCCCTTACGGCTTTTACAGAAACAGAGCACATCAGAATTTTAGAATTGGATGTGAGTGAACATCTTTTGTCTAAAATCAGTACTTCTTAAACTTTTTCTATTCTTAACCACTTTAACACTTCTTAAACTGTGGGTTGTGAGCCAGCAGAGTGGTGATCCACAGTTCAAGAAGTGCTGGGCTCTAAATCATACCCCAAAATGAATCCCCACTATTTCATACATGACAATAAGTCAATTAGTCTCTATTTCATAACCTCCAAGGAAGGAGAGCATGGGCTAACCCTCATGAGATAGCCCATGCCACTCATATCTAGGCATAATGATTAGGAAGTTTTCCATGGCACTAAGCCTTTATTGACCTCTTGGCAACTTGAGCTCTTTCCTCTGGAGCCAAGTAAATCAAATTTAATCCATGCTGCATATGATGGTCTTTCAAATGCTTGATGACAACTATCAAGTCTCCTTCAGGTCTTCTCTCCTCCAAATTAAAACTCTCAAATTTCTTCAACTGGTCCACATGTAGTAATTATAGTGTTGTCTAATCCACATTTCTCCATCTTTCCCACAAGAATAGCATGAGATTGATTCTTTATCAAAGCATCATTAAAATTGAGGTAAATTATCTCCGTAGCATTTCCCCAGACTACCAGTTTAGAGACCCTGTCAAAAGAAGGAAATAAGATTTGTCTAGCATGATCTGTTCTTGATGAAGCCATGATAGTACATTTTAATAATGGTTCTTTTTTCTAGACGTTCATTAACTATCTCTTTAATAATACATTACAGAATGTTTCCTAAAATACAGATCAAGCTTAAGGACCTAATGTTGGCAGACTCTGTTCACTTCCATTTTTTTTTTGTTTTGAAACTTGGGATATTTCTTTTCCTCCAGCCCTATAGTCTCTCTCTAATGCCCCCATCTTTCATTTATTAGTGATAATAGCTTAGCAATCTCAACTGCCCATGTGTTGCTATTGTTGCTGCTGTTATTCCATTTTGTTTTCAAGATTCAAAGCCCTTGTTCACCTAGAAAAGGTCTCTTGGATCTATCAAATAAAGCAAAGATCTGTTTTACTATTGCCTAACTTATCTTGGCTATCAGTTCTCTATAAACCATTTTTTTCTACTTTCAGGTCCAATGTCACTCTCAGCTAGGTGTAAGAGTTCTAGCCCTGCCTGGAATCAAGAAAATTTGTGTTCAAATCTGACCTCAGACCTTTACTAGCTGTGTGGTCTTTAGCATGTCACAGCTTCTGTCTTACTCGGTTTCCTCATCTATAAAATGAGGATAATAATAACACATAACTCCTGGGGTTCTTGTGAAGATAAAGGAAGATATTTGGAAGGAAAGGATGGAAGGAGAGAAGAAGGAAGGAAGGAAGGAAGGAATAAAGGAAAGAAGGAAGGAAAGTAGGGAGGAAGGAAAGAAGGGATGGAAGGAGGGAAGAGAGAAGGAAGGTGGAAGAGAGGGAGAGGGATGGGGAGATAGGGAAGATAGGAAAGAAAGAAGGATGGAAGCAAGTTTAAAAAGAGAAAACAATCATTTAGCAACTCTGCCTCATCTCCTTCACCCATTTTCTCCTCCAGAAATTGCCCCTGCTATTATCTCAACTTTCTTATTAATCTTCCACATTATTGGCTTGTTCTATACTGCCTTAAAAAGTCTTTCTCTTCCATCCTCAAAAACCTCTCACCCAGTCTTTCCATTTTTATCCTCACCCCATCTCTCTCCTCCTTTTTGTGAATAAAAGCAGTCTACAACAGGCGCTGCCACTTTCTTTTCTCTCAGTCTCTCCTTGACTCTCTACAACTTAAGTCCCAACTTCACTGGGTCAAGAATGCTGTCACCAAAGTTACCATTAATCTCTTGGTTGCCAAATCTGAGGGCCTTTTCTCAGTCCTCATCCTCTTTTACCTCTCTGCAGCCTTTGACACTCTTGATCCCCTTCTCCTAAATACTCTTTGCATTCTCCTTTTACCTTTCTGACCAGTCCTTCACCATCTCCTTTGCTGAATCTTCATCTAGTTCATACTGGATAACTGTGGGTATTCTCCAGGGCTCTGTCCTAGCCTTCTTTTCTTCTTTCTCTACACCATTCCACTTGATGATCTCATCAATTCCAGTGGATTCAATTATTCTCTCTATAGTGATGATTCTGAAATCTACTTATCTGGTCTTGACTTCTTTCCTTACCTCCAGTCTGCTATCACTAATTCCCCATTGAACATCTTGAACTGGGTGCTCTGTAGACATCTTAAATTCAACATTTCCAAAATTGAACTCATAATCTCCCTCCCCATATCCTCTCCTCTTCCAAACTTCTCTATTACAACACCAGTCCTGTAAGCTAACAACCTAGATTTCATCCATGACTCCTTACTTTCTCTCTCCTCTTACAATTATTTGCCAAGTTCTATCAATTTTACAGTTTTAGCATCTCTTGTATCCATTCCTTTCTCCCCTCTGACACTGCCACTAGGCTGGTGGAGACCTTTATTACTCCACCCCTGGATTACTGCTGTAGCCTGCAGTATGCTGTCCCTGCTTCATGCCTCTCCCCACTCCAATCCATCTTTCACTCAGAAGTCAAATTGATCTTCCTGAAGTGCAGCTCTGGCCATGTGAAACATGTGCCGCCCTCCCTACTCAATAAACTTCAGGACCTTTCTATCAGTTTCAGCATCAAATATAAAATTCTCTGTTTTGAGTTCAAAGCCTTTCTTAATCTCACCCCCTTCTACCTTTCTAATCTTCTTACATTTTACTCAGTCCCATACATTCTTCGATCCAGTGACATAAGTCTCATTAATGTCCCACAGATAAGACACTCTATCTTATGACACCAGACACTCCCTCCTAACCTCTCCTTCTTGGCTTCCCTGACTTTCTTCAAGTCTCAGCTAAAATTCTACCTTCTAAAGAGGTCTTTCCAAATCCCTCTTAATTCTAGTGACTTCCCTCTTCAATTATCTTGTTTATACATAGTTGTTTGAATTCTATCTCCCCCATTAGGCTGTAAACTCCTTGAGCGCAGGAACTATCTTTTTGTCTCTGCCTATCTTCAGTGCTTAGCAGAGAGCCTGGCACATACTAGATGCTTCAGAAATGCTTAGTGACTACTGAGTATATCATCTCCCCAAACACTGGGTCCTATCCCTTCCTTTATATTTCTCTTCTCCCCTAAATAGCACATCAGTGCCCTGCCTCTTCATGCTTTCTTTCCTCACCAAAGAGCGTTGTGAGATGTAGTACTCCTAAGTGTCAGTGTGTACATATCCTCTATATACATATGATGTATATGTGTGTACGTGTTACATGCAGATACATATTATGTGGACACATGTAGATATATATATATATATGTATATGTGCATACAGGTGCACATACAACCATGTATATTACATATATGAACTCATTTGTATACATTGTGTTGGGTTTCCTACTGAAAGTGTAATCTCAAAGCCTTTAATTTGCTGTCAAATTTGGGACCAATTTGGATTTTTATGTATTTCCAACATGATTTGAGAGCTCTATCTTTTAGTCACCCCCTCTGTTCCTATATGAGAAGTTCCAGCCAACAAGAATTTCACTAAGGGAATACAAGTTTAACAACTTTCTCTTCCCCTGGCCTCATACCAAAAAAAAATATCCAAGGAGGAATCCTTTGGTATTTTAGCATTATCAGAGCCCATTGTTCCCTTAAAGAAAGTATCTCCTAATCTACGATTTCCTTAAAGTGGGTTGGGGGCAAGCTGTCCCCATCAGCGTGTAGGGGAAAACCTTCCCCAGTGGTGTGTGGGTAAACCTTACCTTAGCTCAGATGAATCTGAAAAAGTCCCATCTCTAGGGGCAGTCTTCCATGAAGAAATCTCATGAAGAAGAGTCCAGGGTGCCCAAGGGAGTTTTTCTGA